GATAGAAAGTATTAACCAAAGTGAAAACGGTGGTTTCTGCATAGATTTCATGTATCTATCCCATGTCCATCCCTCCCCAAATCCTTTCTCATATGTGACCAACAGGAGGTTGTATTTTTGACCCAACTAATATGATAAAATTAAAGAAAGCTGTGGGTTGCAAAGAGGAAATGTTCCAACGTTCCCTTCTTCTCATAGACCCTAAGTCAATAGAACTGGGTGAATCCTTCAGAGTAGTGGTGTTCCCACTATCAATGGAGGAACTGCAAGAGGAAGGCATGGAAACATGCATATGAAAGGATAAAGGAGACAGAAGTAAAGTTTGTTCTGGCCACAGATATATGAGTAAGTAAGGGCATGTAGAATTAAGTACAGGATCATAAATCTTAGAGCTACAAAAGAACACCTGGTCCAACCCTCTTGCCTTTACTGAGGAAGGTATTATTATCCCCATTTTATAGATGGGATATGTTTCTTGAATATAAAAAAGGGGAAAATGAAAATAAACTGTCACAACATTTTGGTAATGCAACCAAGGCAGACTGATTCCACTGGTGTCAACTACTCTTAAGCCAAAGCTCCTTAATGTAATTTCTTTTACCTAGCATACATGGGTCATATACCACAAGTTTTAAAACCTATAGTTTCCTGCTTTCTTTACCCTCTAGTCACTCATTCCTCTCTCCTCTGTACCTTCAAAGGCTGAAGAAGAACATCTCTCCTGTTATTTGGCTGCCTGGCAGTACAATAAGAGGTCAATCCAGTTCCTCCATACTTTTTACTCCTCCTGTCATCCAAAGTCAAACTCACTCTGTTCAAGTATGGTAGACAAATTGTTAGAAACCCATTTCTTCTGGATGGCACTCTAACTGAAGTCACTGGTCTAAAATTATAGTCTTGCAGTGTCCTATGGGGACAAAATCTAAATTTGGGGGTTAAATTATCAATGAATTATTCTTATTTTTCATTGTTTCTATCCACGCGACCCCTGGCTATGGTCTGATTCGTTCTTTCAAACTAATTACAATTAAGCTGAGTCGCCCACATTAACAATGAGGAGGAGGAGGAGAAGAAAAACAATAATGATATTAATGACTAACATTTGCATAGCTCTTTAAGATTTGCAAAGTACTTTGCATATTTTAGCTCATTCAGTCTTCACAACAACCTTGTAAAGAAGGTGCTATTGTAATCCCATTCTTACAAAGGAGGAAACTGAGGCCATGAGAAGTGACTTGCCCAGGGTCACACAACTTGTGAGATGTATGAATCAGAATCCTATCTAAGTGATGACTCAAGCCTAGGTTTTCCTAACTCCAAGCGAGACACTATCCACTGTACCACCTAAAATTACCTAGAAGGGAAAGTTCTGGGGAAGAGCTCTAGAGACCCACAGAAAGTGACCACAGTCAATCCCTGCCATTCCCTTCCCTTTCTTTTGCTCCACTCTGATCAACATGCTTCAGAATCATGGCATTAGAAAGGCAAACTAGAGAACAAAGAAATGTGTGGTCAGACGTTCTGCTCCTAAAACCTAGAGCTCAGGTTTCAGTGGCTGGACATTCTCAACATACCCCGCCCTGTGCTTCCTATTTAAGATAATTCTCAGGCTTTCCCAATCTGTTCTAGTCCCAAATTGAACACTTCCATTGTACCCAGGTGTGGAACCTTACTTTGGGGCAGACCCTGGCTTCTAGGCTAAACAAACAACCAGTCCTGCCCTTAAAACTGTCTGCCTATTAGTGATGACTGAAATGATACTTCTCAGAGTTGGGTGATGACCTCCTATGATAGAGGAGGTGTGACACATTGATCTAAATGGTATTTTATGGCACCTTAAGGCCTTGAAAAAGGGGATGTTCTGGAAAGAGACAAGCTGTGCTTACATTATGCCAAACATCTGTATGAGAATTTTAAAATGTGGCTCTCATATTTCCAAATATCCTGAGATATGGTGGCAGGTCAGACATTGAGCTTTCTGACCACATTTTTCAGTTTGAATCCAGAGCCATGTTGATGAAACCTTGATATAATGACATTTCTCAAAGCTACCCTGAGTTTTCTGACAAGTTAATACATCTTTATTAGGGTTATTTCTGCACAAACCATATATCTGCAAAGAGATACCTACACCATGCATAGGTTTTAATTGCTTTCTGAGGCAGTCAGGTTTTATTAAGTTTTTGGAAGAGTGGTGTCTGTATGTGCATGCAAAAATGAAGACACACATACTTATGCCCACACAAAAATTCAGAGAGCAATGTGCTATTTTAAGAGTCCAAGCTATATCTTTCACCAAAGTTTAACTGCTTTCATTTTGCAAATGCATTTAATTTTATCTGGAAACTTTTTGACATTAGAAATAGAACAACTGTAGTTTCTCATTATGTTGGCTGCCAGAAACTATGCTTGGTTGCTCAACTAAAGACCTTATATTGCTAATTACTACCACATGCCCATATCCCAAGTGAAGGAAAACTTATTGGTTCTGACAGCCCATTCTCTCAACACTGAATTCCAAAAGAAAACTCAAATTTTGGCCAAACATAACATTTCATCAATCTTGTTCTCCTGACTGGAAAAAACAACATCAAACAAGGGGTGCTAATGGCCCTTTATGACTGTGCCTTTCCCAAGCTTATATTTTCTGATGAAAGATCTAAGTGACCAAAGGGCTTCTTTAAACTACTTAGTAATTAGCTTTTGAACCAGGAAACAATGCATAAAGTAAATTGAACAGTCCTTGTGCTGATGATAGAGCCAGCTCTCAGTCAATAGGATCTATGGGTGATGGTGACTGAGAAAGAATTTTACAAACAACATACTAATAAAGGGGGAGTTTAAAAAGAAAAAAAAAGAGAAAACCAGACTAAAAGCAGTGATAAAAGATAATGAAGCAAAGTAAAAAAAAAAGCTGCAGGAAGTCTGGGATCTAAGGTTCTCATATTGGGGAGTTGGAGATAGAGTAAAGGTCAAAATTGAAAGTCAAGGAAACAGTAGAAGGCTGGTGAGTGAAGGCTTGCCTTGAGAGGTCTTTCTTGGGTTCCTTAACAGCACAAGCCCATCTCTACCACGGCCACCCAAGTCTGGAGAGGGAGAGATATTTGAGAACAGCATTCACCCTGAGTGAAAGTAGTTTACCTACGTGTTGTTTTGGCTTTCTCTATGCATGTGTGTTGGGGGGTGGATCGGAGGGATGGTTTGTGTGGATATACATGGCTGTTGTTTTGTGTCTGGGCCTGTTTTTAAAATATGCAATAGGGTCATGACTTATATTTAATCCTTTCTTATTTGACAAGGTCACAGGCAGGTTTGTGTCAACTTTACTAGTGTTCAATTGTGGCAGCGAAGTGGGGAATCCTATGAAGAGAATTCTAGGACTTTTTGGAGACCTTTTACTTGTGACTGAATACCAGTTGTCCCAAGCTAGCAGAAGGGATGTTTCCTCTCCAGCCTATGAAAGGAAAGACATGGGGCTCTATGGAACAATTTGGATCCATCCAACGGCTTGGTTCGATTCCTATGCAGAACTGTTAGGTCATCTGAATGGGATGGCTACGGTAATGGGAAGGTGGAAGAATTGTGATTTCCAATGAAAAGATGCCAACTGGACTCCTCTCTAGTACATATATATATATATATATATATATTTTTTTTTTCCTTTGGAAAAGAAACAAGTCTCCCGGGGGCAATTCAAGAAAATGAACCATTTTCTACCATCTCATTTTCTGAATGGAAGACTAGGCACTTGAGCTCAAAGAGGAAGGCAGGGTGAGGAGGAATCATGAACAGGGGATGAGGCTTTCCGAGGCGATCCATTATGGTCCTGGTGACACCGGCAATTCATCATTAGAAATGCGAAGGAACATTTATTTTGTTTCCTTGGGAAAATCCACCACAAACAGTTCATGGGAGACCTATTGAAGTGGTAATGCCACTTCAGTGTAGAATAGTTATCCTACCAGATTCACTATTTACTTAGGAGGAAAGGGTTTGATTGACACTGGGCCAACATTTTGATATGTTAGTATAACCTACCCCCACTTCAGAATTCTCTTAAGAGCTAAGCACTTATGCATGAGGCCAAAGTATTCACCCACAGTTCCACTTAGTACAAATGGCTTGAATTTAATGCTCTCTCCCCAGTTCTGTCTCATCTGAGGGAAGCAGTTTCTTTGAGAATAGGATTTGCCTTTTTTTTTTCCTGTATAGGTCAGTAAGGTCAAAAGTAAGTCCCACATGACAACCATTCCTACAAATGATCACAATGATGAAGATAATTTTGCTCCATCTCTGGCATCACCTTCCAATTCTAGAATATGACTGTCTGTAATATCGTGATTTCAACCTCATAAAATAAGACTGAAGAGAGGATAGAGTTTTCTTTGATTTTTTTTAGAACCAGAATTGCTTAACTAAGCTAGCTGATACTCAGAATGAGATTATCCAGATTATCTAAGAATAGTAGGGATATTCTCAGAAATGACCATAATAGCTATAGGTCACTTGTGGATGAGTTCCATCATTTTCTTGGATGAGAGTAAAGGAAGTATATTGTGACTGATGCCTTAGCATGGCCCAGGTCTTTAAACCAAGTGTGACCACTTTCTCATGGTGGGGGGTGGAGGGGAAAGGAAATAAAATCTGTCCTCACACTCCACAGTCTGTCCCCCTCCCCTTCTACCTGACCGAAACACTCAAGTGAAGGATGGGTTAGAAGAGTGTCAGGGCTCAGGTGTCATCTCCACAAAGGGCCGCTAAAATCGCACAATCACACCTTTTTTCTTGATGAAACTGACTTACTTTCTGCCTCCATGTTTGTTAAAAGTCCCGCCGAATTTATTCCGGTTGAGGATGAGAGCAGCAATTTCGGGAACGTAGCGGGCAAACATTGCCTACATGCATGAAACAAAGAAACAAGAGGGAAAAAAAAAAAAGAAAATGGCATGCAGAGAGGATTCTACTGCTCTGGCTGCAGTGAAACCTCCTGGCATACTTACTTTCTTCCACTAACCGCACTATAGGAACCACCGTATTTCTTGCGGTTTCCTATTAACTCTATGATTTCAGGGACGTAGCTGGCAAACATGGCCTAAGGAAAAGATAGGAGACAGAAGAAAAGACTAAAAAGAGAGGTCAAAGAAAGATGGGGGATTAAGATCTGAAAATGCAAGGAGTTTTTAAAAATGACCACAAAAAACACACAAAAAAGGGAAACTCTTGAAAAAACACAAAATGTTGGCTTTCAGGAAGACTCAAACCTAGCAAACTAAGACATTTCAAGATGGCTGGACATCACATAAAGTAAAGTGGGAACAAAATAAAATCAAACTGCCATCTAGCTCTGCTTCCAGAAAGGGTTTGGAGGGAGAAAAAAACAAAGTTGTATGCTGCAAAAACAAGATGAATTTTTTTAAAAAAAAGTTATCTCTAACCTTAAGAACCTTTTACTTGATAAAATTCAAAAGTGAACCAAAGTGGCCCCATGACACAACAAAGAATAACAAACATCAGTTAAAAATTGTTTTTCAAATCTTTTAAAAACAAAGAATTAAAAGACATAAAAAGGGTTGTCAGAGATTACATGAGAGAAAAAAAAAGTAGCAAGGAGACGAACAAATCTGCCATGTTTTGTCCAACAAACAGTTAAGTTGTGGCTGGATACTCTTAGAACCTGCTGACCAACAGCTAGGTCATGTGACCTGTCAGAACTGTACATATGTTACAGGAATACAGGAAATATACACATGCACATATTCATTTATATACATGTTACAAATGTATATGTCATATACATACAATATAGAGAGATATGTATGCATACACAGAATTATAAATATGTGTGCAGTGTATATAAGGGTCTGCTGGATGAGAATTAGGATTTTAACCACTTACCTCGGAGAAAGCAAAAATCTAAACATAAATTTGACTGCCTTCAAAAACAAAATGCAGTAACTGTTGGATTGTTCCTAGCACGTCCCCCCCTCCTACTCCCAGTGGCAACATAACAAAAGTCAGTCATTTTGCTGCTATGTAAACATATGCATGGGCCAAAATACCATGGAACTCTGTGACTTAAAAGGGAAAAGATCAGAGGTGTTTGTGCTAGTACTTGAAGTGGCCAGTTAGGAGACCATCATTACCACATGATGACTTCCAAATGGGCGAGGCTATCAGGATTTGTCACTGTCTAACTCTTAGAGCAGACCCAAGCCACAGTGTTTGTTGGAAGTCGAGGGGAGGAACACAGAGGGAGAAGGAGAGCTTTTGAAACTGCAACCTGACTAAGAAGTATTGATAACATCTAACAGCATCCTGCAAAAGCAGTTGTTGCCACCAAGGAGTGGGCAGCAAATTGCATTACTGTCCAGAAGGCTGTCTCATTTACTCCCATGCATTATTTCCTTAAGACATTTAGGTTCATTGAAAGCTAAATGAATATCTCTAGACAAGGGCAAGGGATCTGGATAACATAAATCCTTGTCTGTGGAAAACAAGTTGTACATAACAGCCCCCAAAATATGCTGAAAAGTCATATCTGTGCTCTCATTTACTTTAGCAGAATATAAAACTAAGGCAATCATTTGCTTTTAATGCAGTCACTGGTCTAAGTAGTATAAGGCTTTTAAGGAAATGAATAATCAACAATATTAATGATCATAAATATCATCATCATAATAAAAAGAGATTTTACCAGTCCCCCGAGGATGAAGAAGACCATGAAGAGGCGGCCAAGGGTGGTTTTTGCATAAACATCCCCATAACCGACAGTGGACATTGTAACCATGAGTAAATAGACACATTCCCAGTATGTTAGAGGTTGGTTATTTTGGAAATTTTCCCATGGATCCCCTGAGTTCTCCACCTATAATAAAGGGACATGAGTTAGACAAGAAAAAAAATAACTGAATAAACCAGAGTTAGTACAAGCAAGTGGTTTCTTGAATTTTCCTTCCCCCTGAGACTGGTGTTTGTCTCTCTGGGTCAAGTTGAGCAAGCCTCAAGTCTTAAGGCAGTAGAGTAATGAAATGTGTCTTTGGATGATTGAAAAATAAAGGGATCTGGAGAAGGAAGAAGACATTGGTCCATTTTTCTCCTCACCATTAAAAGTCTGCAAATACTTAACTGATTGTGACCTTGTTCCCGGTCAAGTTTCTATGACACTTAGTTTTGAAAAAAATTTTTTTTCTTTTGCCTTAACCCTGTCTGTGAGCCCCATTATTGTCAAATAGACCCAAGCCATGTTCTCTCATTCACCGTGATAACATTGGGTCCTCACCTTAGACACCTTGCTTGTATTTTCAGTTGCTTTCAAGGAGATAATTAATAGTTTTGTACTCTTCGAGACTGAGTGCCAATCTTACAGGTGACACATGGATGCCCCAAATGAATAGTACCCCTCAAAGCTAGACCTCATTGTTAGGAAACAATAAGGAATTCTACCATTCAAGCAGAAATGGCTTCATCTGTGGTAACAGCAGGGCTTCTTTCCTTTGAATTTGGTCTCCAACACCAAGTTAATCCCAGCAAATGAGCCTTATTTGATCAGTTTCACTCTATCTAGTGGTGGTTTACCAGCTATCAAGACCAACATAACCACATTCCAGTCCTAGTGGAGCTCTACTAAAAGTTTCCAGCAACCTTCCTCTTCAGGCACCAAATGAAGCACTTCAATGGTCTTGAAAATTCATACCAGGATTCTAAGTGCACCCTTAAGCTTCCATTTTCTGTGGATGATCTGGGTTCCTCCATGTCTATTCTGACCTTCGGTTGAGGAAAATACCACCCTAAGGCCACATACGAATGACAGTTAGAACGTTCAACACTGAAAGGCAGAAAAGATGGGCTCACTATCTCTCTCTCTTCAAATAATTAAGTATATATCCCCAGGAACTAGAGATTTCCCTTCTAAAATTACCTTCCATTTATTCCATATGTATCTTGTATGTATTTATTTACATGTTGTCTCAGTCAATCAACTAGTACTTAATAAGTGCCCACTATGTTTCAGTCATGGTGTTGAGTGCTAGAGATACAAATGGAAAGAACAAAACAATGCCTCTCTCAAGGAGTTTATATTCTAACAGGGAGCCCAGGCATACATATTTAAGTAAATATAGAATAGTTATAAAAAGAATAAATACAAAGTCATTAAACAGAGAAGTATCCAAGAGAGGGCACTAACAGTTGGAGAGGACCAAGAAAAGTTTCTTGTAGCTCAACTTAAAGGTCTTCCTTTAAGGGTTTCGGTGTGGTAGAAGGGAGGAGCTAGAATATCTGGATTAAAGACCATCTGAGGAAGTATAATGTCCAAAGAGGCTGGCATGATAGATAGATTGTAGTAAAGTCATAAAGGATTTTAAAAGCTAAACAGAAAACTTTATATTTGCTCCTAGAAGCAATAGGGAGCCATTGGAGTTTAATGAGTAGGAGAGAATAACATAGATCTACTCTCAAAGAAAACCTCACACTAGAATGTTAGCTTCTGGAGACAGCTGATAAGTACAATGGATAGGAGCACTGGACTGGAGTCAGGAAAGACCTGAGCTCACATCTAGTCCCAGATACTTACTGGCTGTGTCACCCTGGGAAAATCACTTAACCTTTCTTTGCCCGTAGTATCCTCAACTGTAAAATGGGATAATAATAGCACCCACCTCCTAGTGTGTATCTATATATACACACATATGTACATTATATACATACATACATACACACTCACACACACACACCACACACACACACACACACACACACACACATATATATATACACACATACATATGTATATATACTCATTCCTTATAGAAATACTTATTTCCTCACTCTCTTCTTTCCCTTCCCCTCTTGAGGGCAGGTACTTTTTTGTTTTGTTTTGTGTGTGTATTCATGTATTCCCTGTGCCCAGAATAGTGCCCTATACACAGAAGCTGCTTAATAAATGGTTGTTGGATTGGCTGATAATATTCCACCCTACCTCTTCCTACCCCCTAGGCAATTAGAAATTGGCCTTTAGTTTCTATGAAAACTTAGGCACGCGTATTTGCTGTCTCAAGACTACTTTGTTCAAGAGGATGCCCTAATAGATTTGAGTATAGAAAAAGACTCTAAATCTGTCCATCAACTCCCAACTCTAAACTCTATGCTTATATTAAATTCCTTTTTGCCTTACAAAATAATTACAAAAGGGTCAAGCAGTCATCAGCAACAGAGGATTAGTAGGGACTTCTATGACCAAGATATTGCATGTAGTACTGGGGGAAGGTCAAAGTAAATATGAGGTCCTGGACCTCAAGGAGGTATACATGGTCACAGAGCACTACAATACAACAGAAGCCACGGTGTGGTAAATGCATGGGAGAGCTACAATAGGCAAGGACGGTACCAAAGAAGAGGGGCATTACTTCCAGTTGGGGGCATCATGATGGGCATCATATAAATGGAGTCTGATCCAAGCCTTGAAGGACAGGTAGAATCATGACAGGTGGGCAATCAGTCACAGTGTGTGTGTGTTGGGGAAAGAGGGCTGGGTAAATAATACGACAAAGTAAAGTATGATTCAAACATCTAGCAGGAATGGACTGTGATGCCAGAACTTGGGGGCTTTTCTTGCTCTTCTCTCACACACTTCATCTCTGAATTCCCTGCATTTTCACTAACTATCCTTCATGCTTCAAATGATCTCCTTCCTTACCTGAGACTCCCAGCTGCCCTGGCTTTCTTCATGGATCTTCTACAGGAGTCTTCCCAACAGCTAGTGCCTTTCCCCATGAGACTACCTTCCAATTACACTGTATATATTTTGTATGTGCATAATTCTTTGTTCGACTGGTGACCTCTCCTTCCTTGGAATGTGACCTCCTTGAGCATAGGGAGCTTGTTTTTTTCCCTTTCTTTCTATTTCCAATGCTTAGCACAGTGCCTGGCACACACTTCATAAATGCTTGCTGATCAACTGATTGAAAGAATTAGCCTTAGGAGGAGGGTCAGAACCTCACTCCACATTGGGAACACTATAGATTTCTACTTAAAAACACACACACACGCTCTTCTGAAATACAAAATAACTTGGCTGGCCATCAGTCAGGAGAAGCAAAACTGCCTTTTTCTCAAAGGGGAAATAGAGAGAAGTGGAGGGAGCCCAAATTGTTGTCTTCTGAGAGATGACATTCAAACTTGGCAGATTTTCCATCTTTTCCAAAGGTTACTTTCCCAGGTGTTTGGTGAAGAGCTACTGCCATCTTGTGGCCAAACTATGTTCCTGCAGCTATTCACTCAAAATGCCCTTTACTATTGCTGAACCTAAAAAAGCCGAGGTTAATGACAAGAACATTACTTACCATTTGGAAGTAGTTTGGGGTAGAAGGCTGGAAAATAGGACAGTTGGACTATTGCTTTTCTTTCTCCTTCTCTCTGTGTTCAATGACCCCACCAAGGTTATATCTTAGACTAAGCAATTTGGGGTGATCAATTTGGGGACGGGGACTGACCCACGAAAGCCACCAGGAGAATGTGTCTTCTTGGGTACTTACCAAATGTATGAACCCAGCTGCTGTCAGCCATGTGCTGATAAATATGGAGAGCAGATTCACCAGCTTGATAGAATTACTGTACAAACCAAAACACAAAGACAGCGCTTTTACAAATAGAAGCTGGCACTGGACTGGACTGTAAGTCCTTCTCACAAGCAGCCTCTGCCATGACTATAAAGCAAGTCCCCTCCCAAAGCTTCCACTCACTGACCCTTTCACAGTCCTGGGGAGAGAGGAAGGGGGCAGACAGAGAAAGAGAAGGAGGAGAAGCTTCGAGTTCGGAAAACCAGAGAAACAATCGGCCAAGAAACTCCAGTAGAGGAATTGGAAACTTGGTGATGGCACTACTTAATTCCACCAGATTTCTCTTTTTGTTTGTTCCCAATGCTGCCATCTTCCTCTAGCCCATCATCTCTTCACTTGGTATGATTGTAGTAGCTTCCTACCACCACTGTGCTCTTCCTTTAATAATTATTTTATAGCAATTCACGGCATTGTGAATACAGTCAGGCTTGTAGTTAGAAAGTCCTAGTTAATCCCATCTCTGACACTGAGTAACTTTGGGGCCCTGAGTGAGTTGCTTAACCTCTTCAGGCTTCAAGCAACTACTTAGGACCTCATAGGTGGATCGCAATCTAAGTTGGTGCAAAGAGTTCCCATACCAGGAGTTCTCTATCCTGATGAAATTGCAGATGCTTCCCATTCCTTTTTATTGGGTCATGTCCCAACTCAGAATCCTTCAATAGCTCCTCAGAACAAAGTTCAAACTATTCAAATTGGCTACTTGACTATCTGGCCAAAATCGGCATCATCTCCCATCAATACTGGACGTGAACTGCCTATTGCAGACTAACAGCTCTACTGCCTATAACCTGAATATACTATGCGCTCCCCTCCATCTGGGATGTATGCTAGAGACATCTGGAATACTATTCTCACCTCCTTTCTGCCTCTGAGAGTCCCACACACAGCTTTTCTAGCCTAACGTGACCTATCTGTTCTGTGAATTACCTTATTTTTTAAACTACTCATTTGGTAATTAATCACATATTGCCTTGTGACACGTTGATTTTCTGGTCTTATTGTTGGCGCTCTGTTGTTCAGTCACGTCCAACTCTCTGTGACCTCGTGGACTTTCTCCATGGGATTTTCTTGGCAAAGATGCTGGAATGGTTTGCCATTTCTTTCTCTAGAATGTCAGGAAGATGAGTCTTCCTCTACCTACCTGTCCTTTCTAGTCTTACTTATCTCTTATGTTATTAATTCAGCTTTTCCCATGTCTAAGTCTATTCCCTCTAACTAGATTGCAAACTCCTTGAGGGAAGGAGGTGTTTTAGAGCTTTATGCATCTCCCATAGTGCATATCCCATATAAGGATAGAGAGTAGGCCTGTAGTTTCCTTGGGATAGGAGACTCCTGGGTTAGGAAGCTCCCTCTATCAATGAAGGTTGTCACCCTTGGACCGACATAAAGTCTCACAGTGTTGCCTAGAACACGAAGAAGTCAGTTGCCTAGAACTTTAAGAATCTCAAGGTCATATAGGGGGGTCAAAGGAAAAACTTGAACCTAGATCTTGCTGGCTTGGAGACTAGCTTTCTACCCGCCCTACTGAGCTGCCTCTTTACCTAATATACAATAATATATCAATTAACTCATCCGTCTCACTGTTCTAATCTTTCGGATATATTTGCTTGATTGTAGTTCCAGCATATAACCCCAGAGGCAGTTGGGTGGCATGGTACAGAATTGTCAACATGCAGCCCACAAGCCACATGTGACTTGGATTGGATTGGATTGATTGTGGATTGGATATTTTAAATAATGTAAATTTAAATATTTTAAAAAATAAATATATTTTAAAAATAAAGAAAAATACAATAAAACATAGGTAATAATAATAATACGTGACTTTCCAAGTTAATATGTGTCCTACAGAGATCTTCATGAATGGTTTAGTGGCCCCCATTTCCATTTGAGCTTAACTCCATTGGTATAGTAGATAGAGTTCTAGACTTGGAGTCGGGAAGACTTGAGTTCAAATCCTAGCTAAGATATCCTCTGGTTACACAGTCACTTACATTTTTCAATCTGTTTCTTCCTTTTTTAAATGAGAATAATAACATCTACCTGCCAAGGTTGTCATGAGGATCAAATGAGATAATATATATAAATTACACTGTGAAACTTACAGCACTGTGTAAATGCTCATTATTATTATAACCATGAAGAGATTAAGACTTGGACGTTCCTATGAATGTCAACCAAAAGGACATCTAGATGCCAAGTGAAAGATACAGCATCCTGGGTGAATTTGGACCAGACAAAAAGGGCTGGAATGTATCACCCTGAGAGTGAGAAAAAGAAAACCCCTGAAACATTTACCTCTTATATCCAATAGAGCAGAGAACAGGGAAGGAGATCCCATTGGTGGACAGATCTATTCATGGGATCATTCCATTCTGAAAAGTATGATGAGAACTAATGCTCTAAAAGGGACTGACCATTGGGCAAGCAGGTGAGATGTTGCAGGAGCAGGTACTCACCTGTATGGCTCCAGGCTCATGGATGAGCAAATAAAACCTTAGGAGTAGGACCCCTTTTCAGTCTCTGCTCAATCACAGAAGAACAGAAACTATAAGAATTAAATACCACCAAGGCAGAGGGAGCTTAGTGTTCTTAGTCACATGTTGAACCGACTTCACTCTGAAATTGTCTTCTGGCTATAAAAGTCCAGAACCAAAGGCATTTCCCAAGGACATTCCAAGGCTGCTACCAAGAATACTTGGATCCAAAATGGTTCCTTGAGAATTCTCAGTTTCTCAAGGACACGAAATATTTCTTTTAATGTTCTGTCTCCTAAAGCAAATGTCTGAACCTACTCCATCTGAGAGAGGGAGCAGAGACCATGCAGTAACTCCTACACGCTTAAGCCATAAATATGACATGTATATTGGGACTCCAGGTGACACAGTTGATTCCCACCTCAGATCTGGGTTTATTTTGTTCAGTATTTCACCTGCCTATATCAGACATGGTATAACATGGAAACAGTCCTGCTACCATCCCTAGCTAGCTTCCATACAGGGGACTGGATATAGCCATGCTGACAAGGAGGTGACTTTTTTTTTCTTCCTATCTCAGACTCTCCTATGTCCAGACTCCTGGCTACCCATGACACTGGAGTAGCTGGAAAACCTCAAAGGCCCAAGGTACTAGAGAAATCAGATCATTGATAATCCTGTTATCAATGGAAAATTCCAGCCTTGATCTTGGCCTTTAGGCTTGGGAGGAGGAGAGAGACTGGGAAGGAGATATGGCAGAGTGCTTTGAAAGGGGTGGGGGGGAGGTTGGGGAGGGTGGATTCCAATTTTCCCTGATATTACTTTGGAATTGGAAAGTAAGGAACAGACCAGGAGGAAGTAGCTTAAAAGACAAGGCAGAGAAACAGGGGAAGCAAGGTGCTGAACAACCTTCCTTTTCTTAGAGGCTGTATTGGATACCACTAAATTTTTTTTAAGTTCATTCATGACAGCAGTCATAGATCCATGAAGACTAACAGTAACCAAAGGCATTTTCTTTCTGAGGTAATGGGGTTAAGTGACTTGCCCAGGGTCACACAGCCAATGAGTATTATGTGTCTGAGGCCAGATTTGAACTCAAGTCCTCCTGACTCCAAGGCAGGAGCTCTTTACACTGTACCACCTAGCTGCCCCAACCAAAGACATTTTCCAAGGGCATTTTGATGGTACCACCAAAAACACCTGAATCCACAATGGTCCTTGAGAATAGCACCTACCTTACAGGGTTGTTGTCAGGTTCAAATGAAACATTTTGTGTAAAATACTTTAAACCTTAAAGCAACATACAAATATTTGCTATTATTAGAATTAAATTATTATTACTATTACTATTAGAAAAGGTTGCTTATGACCTCATTTTACAGATAATGATACTGAGACATACAGAAGGGTTAAGAAACTTCTCTAAGGACAATCAAGTAGTAATTAGCAGAGCCCAGATTTGAACCTGGATTGTCTGACTGTGAATCCAGGACCCTTTCAAACACACCACACAATAACCAGCTTCCTTGGTGGTTTGAAGAAATAATCCAAATAAAGCAATGATGATGATGATGATATTTATTGTTGAATTGTACAGTTGTGTCAAACTCTTTGTGACCCCGTGGATCAGACTGTTCATGGGGTTTTCTTGGCAAAGATACTAGACTGGTTAACCATTTCTTTCTCTGGTGGATTAAGGCAAATAGAGGTTAAATGACTTGCCCAGGGTCACACAGCTAGTAAGTACCTGAGGGCGGATTTGAACTTGGGTCTTCCTCAGGTTCAAATGCTTCCACACCCAATGCTTGATTCACTGAGCCCTCTAGTTGCCTCCTAATATTAGTAATAGCTAGGATTTATACACTGCTTTAAGGTTTGCAAAGCAATTTACAAAGATTATTTCATTTGATCTTCACAAAATCCCTGGGAAGTGGATGCTATTATTATTCCCACTTTTAGAGATAAAGAAATTGAGGCAAACAGGGTTAAGTGACTTGCCTAGGGTCACAGAGCTAGTAAGTGTATGTGGCCAGATTTAAACTTAGGAAGGTGAATCTTCCTGACTCCAGGCCCAACACTCTATCCACTGTGCTACCTAGCTACCAAGGAATGAGGAAGTTTGGATTCCAGAGCAAAACTACAAAAGGTATATTGTATTGAGGAAGGGGGGCTATTTTAATTGGTACACAATGTGCCCTGAAACTCCAAATACCCACTGGAGACTAGATCAATGCATAGACTAATGAATGAGCAAAATAAATAAATCTTTCTTTTTTAGGGATGTGAGTCTGCCCCAAATAGATTCCAATACCTGTTAAATACATGGTGTGGAATTGTGCCCTACATAGCTGGGGTCCAGAATTTTCTTTTTTTGCAGGCAGTAGTCCCTGCCTAGTTTGGTGAGTCCCTAGTATGCTATCCTTAGTTTCCCAAAGTTGCCTTAAAGTTTAGTGTCTCTATAGCTCTATCCTATAGTAGAGAGAGAGAGAGAGAGAGATGGATGGATAGATGGATA